TCCTCCTCCTGCTCCTCCTCCTCCTCCTCTTCCTCCTCCTCCTCCTTGGCCTGCCGAGGCCCGCAGGGGTTACCACCTGGGGGCGGGGGGCGTCTGTGCGCAGCCCTTGGCCTCACCACCAGCGCCGCCGGGGCGACCCCCCCCATAGGGGGCCACACGCGAACCCTGCCCCTACCCACCACGATCTCTGAGGGGGAGGGCGGGGTTCGCTTCGCTCGCTTCGCTCGGGAGCTCCCGAGCGAAGTGACCCCCCCTCAGAAATCGTGGGGGGGAGGAGGAGGAGGAGTGAGGAGGAGGAGGAGTAAAGAGGAGGAGGAGGAGGAGGATGAAGGAGGTAGGAGGAGGAGGAGGAGGAGGAGGAGGAGGAGGAGGGAGGAGGAGGTAGGGGGTTTCGGGTTCGCGTGTGGCCCCCTGCCCCCGCAGCGCGCCGCGCGCCGCCGTCCTCCCGCGCGGCTGGGGGCGCTGGCCTCCCGCTCCTCCTCCTCGGGGGGCAGGGGCTCCCCGTTCTCCGCGGCGATGACCCGCCGCTGCACCTCGGGCGGGCAGCGAGGAGCATCGTTTCACCGCTCCGCATCCCCAGCGGCGTGGTCTGGGCCCCACTGGCCGATCTACCCCCCAGATGGGGATGTAGGTCGTTTCCTTCGGGTTTCGAGGGGTGTATCCCCAACTGGGGGGGGGGGTAATTTGGTGGGGGTCTCGGAGGGGATGGGGATGGGGATGGGGGTCGGATAAACGATACTGACAGGAGGAGAGGTCGGCACCGCACTGGGAGGTCGGATCGGGTCGGCCGCGTCGGATCGTCGGGCCTGCTCCTGCACCTCCTCCTCCTCCTCCTCCTCCTCCTCTTCCTCCTCCTCCTCCTCCTCCTCCTCCGCCGCCTCCTCCTCCTCCTCCTCCTCCTCGGCCCCCCTCCCGCCGCACCCTCGCCCTCGCCCTAAGCCTCCTCGCCCCTCCTCCTGCTCCTCGTGCTCCTTCTGCCAACCTGTCTTCCTCCTCCTACGTCTCCCTCGTCGCCCTCCTGCTCCGTCTCCTTCTCCTTCCCGTGCTCTTGCTCCCCATCCTCCTCTTCCTTCCTCCTCCCCAAGAAGGTCGAGGACAAGGGGAGATATCCGTCTCCGCTTCCTGGCGAGCGCTCCATCGGAGACCATCACAAAGGGAAAGCCGCGGAGCACGTGTACGGCATGGCAGCACACTGGGCAACACGCGCGCATGCTGACGGCTCGCGCCTCCCTGGCAAACGCTAGGCCTTGCTGTACCCTCTCATCCTCCTCGCCCTCCTTCTCGTGCCGCTCTTCCCCCGCGTCCTCGCTGCTCCCAGGGGTGCGGCGACGTGTGCGGGGTGGGTGGGGGATGGGCGGCGCGCAGGGGGAAGAGGATGCGACGGAGGCGGATGAGGCGCAGGAGGGGGGAGGGGAAGCGCAGGGGGGCAGGGAGCGACGGCACTCGAGGCTCGAGCCCTGTGAAGGTGGCCCCTTGAGCGAAAGGAGAGATTAGGGGAACGGAACATGGCATAAACACAAAAACTCGGAGGTCCGCGCGGAGTCCTCGCATCCGCGCTGGATCCGAGACATCCGCGCGGACCTCCGAGTCATAATGTTTATGCCATTGCTCGCTCCCCTAAAGATGAGAAGCCGACCGAAGACGACCGCGGGGGTTTTCTCGGCCAGGCGTAAGAGTGACCCTGGGTAAGAGTGACCTTTGGTGCGCAGCTTTTGGGGGCGCGAGGGAGCCAAACCCAAGGGCGCGGGCCGCTTATGTCGCATCGCGTTCGGCGATCGGGGGGAGCCCGATGATCCCGCACCAGAGGTCACTCCGGCGAAAGGTCACTCTTACGTGTAGCCGATTTTCAGGGGGGAGCCCTCTCGATGCGCGCTCTGAGCCGGCCCTGCGCGTGCGCCCTCGGCGCTCCATGCCAGCGGCACGGGAGTCCAAGAGGGGCCCCCCCACGCTGGCCCCCCCCAGAAGGCTGTGGGCGAGGCGGGAGACCCCTGACTCGTGTCCTCACCCCCCCTCCTCGTCCTCACCCCTCCTCCTCGTCCTCACCTCCTCCTCGTCCTTACCCCTCCTCCTCGTCCTCACCCCTCCTGACTCGTCCTGCGCCTCTCCGCCAGCCCTCCTCCTCGTCCTCGCCCGCCGCCCCTCCTTGCAGCTACCGCGCCCCTCTTCGCCCCCCAACGCCTCCTCCGGCTCCTCCACGCCCCTGCGCCAGCCACCCTCCATGTCGGCCGCACGCACGAGTGACCCCAGGCAAGAACCTCCTCTTGTGCGCGGCTTCGGAAGGCCGCGAGGGTGGGGGGCCTGCTGGGGGGACCACTGTGGGCCCGCACCAATCGAGGGAGAGAAACGGCACTGACATAATTTCTCGGAGGTCCGCGCTGATTTCTTGGATCGGCGCTGGACCCCCCTCCCTGGAGCTCGGAGCGCGCCAGGGGTGGCGCTGGAGGTGCTGCCAGGGGGGCTCCAGCGCCGATCAGAGAAATTCGCTATGATATGACCTCCGAACAGAACAAACATGTTCAGGTTGATGATCTTGTCGGCGGCGCGCAAGGGGGGGAAGTGAGAAGGGCGGGACTTCTCGAACAACTCGGAAGTCCCCCGGCCTTCTGAGGAATTGTCTGAGCCTTTCGCGGAGACACCTGACACCTCTCAGAAGCCTGGAGTCCTTCTGAAAGGCCCTGCCGAAGGCCTCCTCCCTCTGACTTCCCCCCCTCGCCCGCCGCTGATCTTGGCTGTCCCTCGACCTGTGGGCCTGCACTAGAGGCCCCCCCCCGCGGGAGGCCGCTCTTGCGCGCAGCCGATGCTTGAAGACCCCGGACTCCCATTCCCGAGGGACAGACCCAGACAAGGGTAATTAGGGGGGAGGGGGGAAGGCTTCTTAGGAACACCCCTGCTTCTTAGAAGGCGCCAGCCTCATATCTTCAGACAAGGCCCGCGCCTTCTAAGAGGCAGGTGTGCTTCTAGGAAGCCTTCCCCCCTCCCCCTACCCCCCCTGCGCGTGGCAAGCTCATGCGTCCCCTCCCCCCCCCAAAGGTCTCGACTCATTCCCCAGGGCCGGCTTTTCACCCTGGGCCGTTTTTTGACGGCCCCGAGGCCCGCCCAGCAAGGGCCCCCAGAGGCCGAGAGTAATAACGAACAGAACGCCCTTCGTGTTTTTGCTCACGACTCGCGGGGGTCTGTCGGGCCGGGCGAAAGGGGGGGACAGCAAAGGGGGTGTGTGAGAATCAACTCACATAGCTGATTTTCCCGGCGCCTCCCGGCGCCGGAGGCGGCCATGTATCGAGGACTGGGCCCCTCGGTGGGGCCGAAACCAGTTTTTTTGTTGTTTCTTCTCCTATGCATCGAACACCGATCCCCACGAGTCGTAGGAAACTGGAAAGCC